TTACATGTACGAGTGTGTTGCCTGCATGTATGTTAGTGCACCTGTGTCGTGCAATGCCATGCAGGTCAGAAGAGGGATTTTGATTCCCCTGGAACTGGAGTTAAGGATGGTTCATAGCTGCCATGTAGGTGCTGAGAATCAAACCCGGGTCCTCTGCAAGAGCAGTCAGTGCTCTTAATCGCTGAGCCATCTCTCCAGCCCCTAAAAAATTTTTAAATTATGGCTGTACTTTACATTTTTTACTTTTTTTTGTCTTTTTGAGACAGGGTCTCCTTGTAGCCCCAGCTGTCCTGGAACTCACTATGTAGACCAGGCTGGCCTCAAACTCATAAAGATCTGCCTGCCTCTGCCTCCCAAGTGCTGGGATTAAAGGCATGCACCACCACACCTGACATTTATTTACTTACTTTGTGTGTGTGTGTGTGTGTGTGTGTGTGTGTGTGTGTGTGTGTGTGCGCGCGCACATGCCTTGACATTGTAGGTCAATGGATGTGGTGATTTGGATGGGAAATGTCCCCCATAGACTCCAAGTATTTGAATACTTGGCCCCAGTTGGTTGTGCTGTTTCTGGAGGCTTAGGAGGTACAGCCTTGCCGGAGGAAATATGTCACTGGGGGTGGGCTTTGAGAGTTCATAGCCTCATCTCACTTCCAGCTTGTCTCTTCTTTATGGGCATACTTGAAGATGTGAGTACTCAGCTCCACTGTCTCCTGCCATGTGTTCCCAGTCATGGTGGGCTCTTATCCCTCTGGAACCATAAGCCCAATAAACTCTTTCTTCTATAAGTTACCTTGGTCATGGTATTTTGTAACAGCATCAGAAAAATAACTAATACAGAGGACAACTCACAGGAGTTGATACTCTCTTTCCACCATGAGTACTGGGGACTAAACTCAAGTAGTTAGGCTTAGTGGCTGGTGCTTTTACCTGCTGAGCCATCTCCCCAGTCTATGTGTGTATTTTGATATTGTATCTCTGAATTCCATGTCCCTTTCTACTACTTATTAGTCTGATGATCACAAATTTCTATAATTCACTTATCTACAAACAGAGATAAGCCAGGTTTGGTGGCATATACCTGTAATCCCAGCATTTGGAAGGTGAAGGAAGGAGGATCAGGAGTTCAAGGGCATCCTTGGCTACATAGCTAGTTTGAGGCTAGGCTGGACTATATGTGATCCTCTCTCAAAAAATCAAGAGAGCTGGTGACATGAGTCAGTGTGTAAAGGCTGCAGAGGCAGGCAGATCTCTGTAAATTCACTATAGAGACCAGGTTGGCCTCAAACTTACAGAGAGCCACCTGTCTCCTGCCTCTGCCTCCTAAATGCTGAGATTAAAGGTGTTTGCCACCACACCTGGCAAGGACACAATTAAGCGGTTTCATTTTTTTATATTTAACTTTGTGTGTGTGTGTGTGTGTGTGTGTGTGTGTGTGTGTGTGTGTGTGTGTTTGTATGCATGTGTGTGGGCATGTGTGTGCAGGTGCACTCACCCATGCATATACATATACATGTAGAAGCCAGAGGTGAGTATCAAATGTCTTCCTCTATCTCTACCTTTTTTTTTGAGACAGGGTCTCCTTGTAGCCCCACCTGTCCTGGAACTCACTATGTAGACCAGACTGGCCTCAAACTCACAAAGATCCTCCTGCCTCTGCCTCCCAAGTGCTGGGATTAAAGGCGTGCACCACCACACCTGGCTTTCTACCTTATTTTTAGGGTCCCTAACTGAACCTGGAACTCACTATTTTGCCTAGACTGAAATTCACATGTCTTTACCTCCCAGAACTGGGGTTATAGACATGTTGTCATGCCTGGCTTCTATGTGGGTACTGGAGATCTGAACTCAAGTCCTTATGCTTGACCAGCAAGCTCTTTATCAACTAGGCTGGCTATCTTCCCAAGCTTTGAGACAAGGTCTTACTATCTACAGACCTCAAGCCACCCTAACTACAGAGTAAGACTCTCTCGAAAGCACTAAAAAAAGGTGCTCAGAAATGATTTACTGGTTAAGAATACTGGCTGCTCTTGCAATGGACCTGGGTTCAGTTCACAACAACCATATTTGCTAACAACCATTTGTAACTCAATTCCATGGGTACCAACACCTTCTTCTGGCCTCTGCAGGCACTGTACAACACAGGTACACTTACATACATGTAGGCAAAACACTTATACACATAAAAAATGAAAATAAGGACTGAAGAGATGTTTCAGCATTTAAGAGCACTGGCTGCTCTTGCAGAGGACCTGGGTTCAGTTCCTAGCACCCATATCATGGTAACAATTGTCCGTAACACCAGTTCCAGGGGAATCCAACACCTTCTGACCTCTTCAGGCATTGCATGACACAGATGCACTGACACACATGCAGGCAATACACTCATACACTAAAATAATTTAAAAAATAAATACATAAAAATAATTTTTTTTTTTTAAGAATTGAGTCATGCCAGGTGTGGTAGCACCCACCTTTAATCCCAGTACTTGGGAGGCAGAGACAGGCGGATCTCTGAGAGTTCGAGGCCTGCCTGGTCTATATAGCGAGCTCCAGGCCAGCTGGGGCTACTGAGACCCTGTCTCAAAAAGACAAAAAATAAAATAAAAAAAGAAGAAGTCATATGCTAGATGTGATGACTCATACCTGTAATCCTGTGACTCAGTTCACAAGTTCAAGGCCAGCCTTGAACTTGAGTTTGAAGCCAGCCTGGAATAGAGCTAGATTCTGTCTCCAAAAACCAAACAAACAAAAAGATGTGAATCGTTAAATAATACAATGGACTCCCTTCTAGCTAGTAAATCACCAACTGTCAGATAGACAATCCCTTCCATGATGTTGCAAAGGAGCTTCCTGCTGGGGCTATAGATCAGTGGTAGAATGCTTACCTAGCAGGCATGAGGAAATGGGTGTGATCCCCAGCACCAGACATAAACAAAACCTTGTTCCTACTTTTATGGGAGATAGATTAACTCTGATACCCTTTCAAACACTACAAATCTGTGGAACGTGAGCAACAACAACAGTGGGATGAAAAAAGATACTATCAGCACTTGGCAGGCAGAGGCAGGCGGATCTCTGTGAGTTCAAGGCCAGCCTGGTCTACATAATGAGTTCCAGGACAGCTGGGGCTACAAGGAGACCCTGCTTCAAAAAGTTCAAAAAAACCAAAAAAAAAAAAAAAAAAAAGAAGAAAAAAGGTACTATCTTTTGATCCAGAAACAGATATAAATGATGTGTGATTGAAGTTAACGGTGCATGGGAGCATTCTGAACCATCTTTGGTTTGAACTGTTGCCTAATTCTGGAATTGAAATAAAGCCAATTAAGATCAGATAAAAGGGGGCAGAGGTGCAATTCAATGCAGAACCTATGTGCAATATGTATAAGGCTCTGGGTTCTATTCCTAGCATTGAAAAAAAGTTAATGACAGGCATAAGAGAAGCGATTGTTGGTGGTCAATGGAAAAACTCCTCCCCAAGTAGTTATGTTAATGCCTCTAAGGATCAACTCTCACAGAACAAAAGCCACAGAGACTGTAGCAGAAATGGAGAAAGTGAAATTAGGGCTCTTACTAGGAAGCAGAAGTACAAGAAGAAGTACAAGGACAAAATGACAATGTCAAAGAGAGATCAGAGGTGGGGCCTGGTGGTGCACACCTTTAATCCCAGCACTCAGGAAGCAGAGGCAGGCAGATCTCAGAGTTTGAGGCCAGCAAGGTCTTCATAGTGAGTTACAGGCCATCCAGTACTACTTAGTGAGAGCCTGTGACAAAAAAAAGTCAGATCAGGAACTGTAGACAGAGCAGAGAGTGCCAAGAAGCATAGGCTCCACTGGCATTTGAAGAAACTTTTTTGCCTTTTAGTAACATCTACATATTAGAAAAATATTTAGTTAACTTACCAGAAGTATTTATTAGCAGTCTTTATTAGACATTTATATACTGAATTCTCTATTTCCAACTATTCCCTTCATATCTTTTGCTGGGCCCAAAGATACAGAAGCCATCTGTTGTAAGCTTTACCTGTCTTCAAAATTCATTAGTGCCTGTACTATAAAAAAACAAAAATCAAAAAACAGATTGTAAGGCTGGAGAGTTTTTCTGGGTGCTAGATTCCTATACAAATCTTGACTAACATTTACTCTAAATGAAGCTAAGCTACTCCAGTCTACCTTCTCTTTACCATCAACTAGTTAATCAAGATCTAGGCTCTGCAATCTTGGAAAGGTATCATATATTTCCTCTCAGTTTTGGTTCCTATATTTTATACAGATATATAAATTCATGCATGGGGCTGGAGATATGGCTCAGCAGTTGAGAATATTTGTCACTTGTACAGAGAACTGGGTTCAGTTCTCAGCACCCACATAGTGACTCACAACTATCTGTAACTACAGTTTCAAGGTATCTGATGCCCCCCTTCTGGCCTCCTTGAGCACCAGGCACACAAGTAGTGCACATATATACAAGCAGGCAGAACACTCATATACATAAAATAAAAATAAATATATCTTTTAAAAATGCATGTATATATGATATAAAAGTAGAAGCAAGCTAGGTGTGGTGGCACACACTTTTAATCCTAGCACTAGGGAGGCAGAAGGCTGTGCATCTCTGTTACTTTGAAGCCAGCCTTGTCTACATAGCCAGCAGGCTTCTAGGCCAGTCAGGTATACATAATGTGACCATGTCTCAAAAAAAAAAATTAAAACTATCTGGTGGACAAAGAGGTTAATAGGGACCAGCAGGGTGATGGCTCAGTGGATAAAGACTGTTGCTGCCAAGCCTGACAACTTCAGTTTGATTCAAAACTCATATAATGGAAGGAGAGAACTGACTCTTGAAAGTTGTCCTCTAACCTCCACCCACCACCCTTCATAATAAATAAATATAAATAAATAATGTTTAAAAAGATGACTAACAGGAGTAGAGAGAAAAGGGAGGTCAGAAATACATGAGGGAATATACTGAATATCTATTCTATACTTGTATGAAAGCTTAAAATTTTTTTCAGAGAAATTTGAGCTCTTCTTTGGGAAGATGAGGCAGGAGATTGCTGCATGTTTGAGCCCAATCTGGATTAGACAGCTACCTGGTGAATTGCTAAGAGTGAGACTGAATCTCACAAAGCAAAACAAAATCTAAGGAAACCACTTTCTACTCCTCCTTCATCTTTCATCTTTTCTTCCTACTAAGGCAGGACTAAGAATGACTAACAAGAATGGAATTACCTTCAGGAAACATTCTGTTATAAACTAAGGCTATCTTTGACATCCTTCCCTAAATTCCTTGCTATCTTAGAAAAAAATTTATTACATTTATTTATTGTGTGCATGTGCATGTGTGTTCCTATGTCACACTATGTGGCAGTCAGAGGACAACCTGCAGGAATTGGTCCTCTCCTTCCACCATGTGCGTCCTGGGGATCAAATTCAGGTTGTCATATTTGGCAGCAAGCATGCTTTACCTGTTGAGCCATCATGCTAGTCCCTAAATGTTATACATTCTTATTACCCTTCTGTGCTACCAAACACACATGCATGCACCTATGCACACAAATGTACATGAACACACAAATCCTGCTATCTAATTCTTAGTTTCATATTAGGTTCATTTTTGTAGAATATGAGGAAGAAACTCAAACAACACTAACCATATTAAAAACAAAACTGCCTAATCCCAGCACTTGGGAGGCAGAGGTAGGTAGATCATTATGAGTTTGAGGTAAGCTTAGCATATATATAGTAAGTTCCAGGCCAGCCAGCCTCTGTCTCAAAATAAAACAAAACTAAAAACAAAGGGCTAGAAAGATGGCTCAGTGGTTAAGAGAACTAGCTGCTCTTGCAGAGGACCTGGGTTTGATTCCCAGCATCCACATGGTGGCTAACAACTATCTGTAACTCCAGTTCCAGGGGATCTGACTCTCTCTTCTGACCTCCTCGGGCATTGTACAATGTGGGTGCACCTACCTACATGCAGGCGATACACTCGAGTATACACATAAAATAAGAATAAAATATTTTTAAAAAACAAAACTGCCCCTAACTCATAGATTTTGTTGTATTTTTGAAAATATTTTGTAATTCAATCTCCAAATAGTAAAATGTAGGAAAAAATAATTTTGAGCAGATAATTCCCAGCTTATATCAAACTCTACTATTTGAATCATATACTTCGGTCAAGGCTAACACCAGAAGGAGTTGCTAGAAGAGAAGTTTGATTTATAAGCCTCTATGGAGGTGTGGGGTAGTGGGTATTTGTGGGCTCTTCTATTCCTCATAGCTTTCTAACGTGAGCCTGAGCTTGACTGCTCAGATCTGAAATGTGGCCTTCAAAGAGAAGAAATACATAGACAAGGGAATGGGCTGCACAACTCAGCAAGAACCCCACTGGCCTGATTCTCAACAAGAGGAACTGGATATTAGCCTCTTGGGAAACAAGTTTTAAAACTTCTTAAGACTTGAGCACCCCCTGGTGGAGAAGTCAAATTTCTAGCTCCTCTCTAAGAAGAAATAGGGACACGTGCCCAGAGCGTGATAGATAACCAACCAAGAATTTGCTTTTTTTAAATGTGAGGCAATAATTGAGAGGCTAAGTTGCTATCCCAATATGCTTAACTCCTGGAACTGTGTTAAATCCTTACCTGCAAATTCTTGTAACTTCTTGCGCTCCTCTATGTTATACTGAAGGTTTTCCAGTAACTCAAAATATCGGAAGAGTGAATCTCTAGGCCAAACAACACGGTCATCCTGATCCATATCCATTAGCCCAGGCAGATTCTCATGCACAAGAGTCTCCCAATCCAACTTATCTGTAGGGAAGAATGAGTCTTAAAAATATGCCTAAGCTGGGTGTGGAGGCACACACCTGTAACCTCAGCACTTGCTGAGACATTAGGCTTTCTGGGGTTATATAATGAGTTATAGGCCAGACTGGGCTGCCGTGTAAGCCCCTGTCTTACAGGGAGGAGGAGATGGGGAGAAGGATGAGGATGAGGAAGAGGAGGAAAGAGGGAGAAGAGGATGAATAGGAGGGGAAGAAAGAGGGGGAAGAGGAGGAGCAGGAGGAAAGGAAAGATGGGGAGGAGGAGGAGGAGGAGGAGGAGGAAAAGGAGGAGATCACTACTACCATCTGGATAACTTGCACATGCCCATACTCCCAGCACTTGGAGGCTAGGGTAGGAAGACTGAGAGTTGGAGAAGGAGGAAGAAGAGGAAGAGGAGAAGGAGAAGGAGGAAGAAAAAGAGGAGGACATGATCACTAGTATTATCTGGATATTTTGTGCATGCCCATATTCCCAGCACTTGGAGGCTAGGGCAGGAAGACTGAAAATTTGAGGACAGCCTGGGCCTCAGTGCAGCAAGACCCTGACTCAAAACAAAAACTGATGTCTCATAGAGAGGAAGAATCTGAATTCAAATGAAAGAAACTATTCTACTCATCAGTGTAGTCAGAATGCTGTGAAGAGGAAGAACCATAAGAGGCTGAAGAGGAGGTGGAAGAGGAAGATGGGTAAACTTTTGCTTTTGATGATTTTTTTTTTGAAGAATCTTTCATATACTTTTTGGCCTTATTTTGTTCAGCATCACTGTGTTCAGCATCACTGCACTCAGTATCACCTCGTTCAACACCACTGTGTTCAGCATCACTGCACTCAGTATCACCTCGTTCAACATCACTGTGTTCAGCATCACTGTGCTCAGTAGCACTGTGCTCAGCATCAGTGTGCTCAGCAGCACCTTCTTCAGCCACGCTGATTTCAGACTCCTCTTTAGAAGCTTCTGATAAGTCCTCAGAGATCTTTCTTTGACTGGCTTCTCTGTACATGAAGTAATTTTTATTGCTTCAAATACACTTACAAGATGTGACAGTTCATTCATTATGTTAGTTCTGGTCCTAGCCATCCTCTAAAGCTCTGATCGAAGGCTTTGAGAGCCAGACTACTCTCAAACTCTAAGCTTAGGTATGCCTCATCTCAGCCATGCCTGGTATGTCATCCTTAACTTTTCTCTTCTTTCCCATATTCAGTTCATCAAGAAATCCTGTTGTCTCTATCTTTAAACAGATCTTTTTGTACTACTTCACTGACATGACCCTAGTCTGAACCATCATCCCCACCTGCCTGGACAGTAATATTGCCTCCTAAATGATCTCTCTACTTATTCCCTGTTTTGTTTTGTTTTGTTTTATGTGCATGAGTGTTATGCCTGCATGTATGTAAAGAGCACCCATGTCTTGTAATGCTTGTAGAGGATAGAAGAGGGCATCCGATCCCCTGGAACTGGAGTTACGAACAGTTGTTAGTCACCATGTGGGTGCTGAGATTCAAACTCAAGTCTTCTGCAAGAGCAGCCAGTGCTCTTACCCTCTGAACTATCTCTCCAGGCCCTCTGCTCATTCTTTCACAGTCTATCAACACAGTAACTGGCATTTAAAGTATTTTTTAATGTAAGTCACTTCATGTTACTACTCTTCTCTGCTTCCCATTATGCTATAAGTAAAAGTCTTAAGTTTTTACAGTGACTACCTAGAACCCTGCAGAATTAGGCTCCTGTCTCATTATCTCTCTGACCCCCATTTCTTGTCACCCTTTTTCTGCTCCAGTCACAATGGTTTCATTACTGTTTCTGAAACACACTAGCATCCTTCCAATTTAGAATCTTTGTAGAAGGTATTCTCTCTGCTACTAACACTCTTTTCGTAGATAGCTACATGGAAATCCCCTCAGCTCCTTCAAGTTTTTGCTCACATATTACACTTTCAATGAAGATACCTTGATTACCCTGCTTAAATCTATAACCCATAGCCAGACATGATGGCTCAAAGCCAGCTATTCAGCTACATAGTGAGTTCACAGACAGCCTGAGCTATATAGTGAAACCTTATCTAAAAACAAAACCCTCTCCCAAACCTCTATAACCCATATACAATCCCCATCCTTCACTTTCAATCCCTCTTAACCTAGTCTAAGTTAAAATTTCCAACTGTTTATACATTTTGACATATATTATGCATATGTCCATTGTTTATAGTCCCTTTACCTCTACTAACACATCAACAGGATTATCCTAAGCACCTCCTAAGTAGTCAATAATTATTTTCTTAATTTACTTTCATTTTATGTATGTATTGTGCCTGCATGTATGTAAGTGCACTTGTGTTGTGCAATGCCCGTGGAGGTCAGAAGAGGGCACCGGATCCCTTGGAACTGGAGTTATGAACAGTTGTTAGCGACCATGTGGGTGCTGGGATTCGAAACTGGGTCTTCTGCAAGAACAGCCAGTGCTCTTAACCATTGAACCATCTTTCCACCCCAATTTATTGATTTTTATTTGTATGAGTGTTTTGCCCCATGTATGTAAATGTACCTGTGTCATGCAATTCCTGCAGAGGTCAGAAGAAGGTATCAGATCCCCTGGAACTGGAGTTACCATGAGGGTGCTAGGAACCAAACTCAGATCTGTGCAAAAGCAGCCAATGCTCTTAATTGTTGAGCCATCTCTCCAACCCCTCAATAATTATTTTTAATGATTAAATAGTTTATCTCTTCCCTGCTGTCTTATTTATTGCTAAATATTCAGAGTCTAGAATAGTATCCATCACACTGAAGGTATTTATATTAGTTTCCTATGGCTGTAATAAATTACCATAAATTTGTGATTTAAAACAACAAAAATATAATCTGCCACAATTCTGGAAGTCAGAGTTCTAAAACCAAAATAAGGGAAGGTTACTAGCCTCTGTACCTTCTGGTAGCTGTCTGGTGTTCCTCAGCTTTCCTTGGCTTATGACTGTATCATTCTAATCTCCATCCCCATTTCACATGGCCTTCTCTTAGCCCAGGCTTAAAAGTACAAATCTGTAATCCTAGTACTCAGGAGAGGGAGGTGGGAGGATTTTTGAGTTCAGGGTCAGCCTAAGCTACACAGTGAGATTCTGTCCCAAAATAGAGTAACAACAACAAAAATATACTTTCTCTTAGTCTCTGTTGCTATGCCTTGGTAGCTCACAAGGATTCTTGTCACTAATTTAAGGCCTACCTGAATAATCCAGGATGACTGCATCTCTAGATCCTTAGCTTAATCACATTTGCAAAAAGCCCTTTTCTAAATAGACACATTCACAAGTTTCAGATGGTTAGAACTTGAACATATAATTTTGAGGACCACCAGCAAACTGATTACAACAAATAGTTACTCAATCAACTGATTCTCTCTCAGGGCAAATCTTCATCTTTGGAGATTTCCATTTTCTACTCCTACACCTATTCCCAACCCAATTCACATACAAACTCCTAACTCCTGTCATCCATTTTACTACGAATTTACCTTGCTGCTTCAGGAGATAAGTTTTGTCTCCTGCAAAGAAAAGAAATGAAAATTTGAAAAATCTACTATTCTGCAGAAGTGCAATAAGGGGGCAAAAAAGAACTCAGATCAGCAATAATAGTGAAGGGAAGGAAAGAGTAGAGAGACCTCATAGTAGATGAAGAAACACTACATGGGGGACTTTTTAACTCTGGGGGAAAAATGGTGTCACAGGTCCAAGGAAAAGAAACAGGGAATGAGGTCACAAAGCCCCTGAGAAATAACATTGGGTTTGAATACATGGAGGGCTGACCTCTGGATAATCCGCCGCTTGAATACATCAGCTTTGTATTGAACTTCCAAGTGTATCATCTCCTCATTGAGCTCATTCCTGATATTCTGAAAGTTAGTAACTGCCCCAAAGGGCCATTAGGAGTTGGGAGATGGTAGTGACTAGACCAGGGAGAAGACTTGAGGAGAAACCAAGTGACATATCCATTCCAATATTCAAATCTCCTTGCTACACTGGGTTCTCTATCCACAATCCACCAACCCCAACTGTCAGTTTCTTCCTACTACCCCTCCTGCCAAGTTGCATCTCCTCTGTACTTACCCATCATGGCTACGATGATATTTCTAAAGATAATGGAGCCAAGTAACAACCAAAGGATCACATAGATGCTGCTAAAGACACGGCTGGCTTCTGGCACCTTCCAGACATCCTGAAGCATTGCATACCAATGATCCAAGGTGAAGAGAATAAACACTGTCACTAGGGAATTCAGGAGGTCCCTACAGAAAGCAGAATGTGAATGTATAGAAGCAGGGACCTAAACCTCTCAGAACGTATATCATTCTTATCCTTAAAGCAACGTAAGGGCTTTTTTCCCAAGTATACTCTGGCCTTGGCTCTTTTCCAAAATCACTATTTTAGTTCATTATTCTTCACTATGAAATCACTTTTATTATGTTTTCCTCTCAATATTCCATTAGTCCTGATGGCGGCATTTTTCTCAATAAATAAATACTGACTGAATTTTTTTATTTTAATTTTCTGAGTGTTTTGCCCACATGTATGTAAATGCACCTGTGTGCAACTCCCTCACGGGCCAGAAGAGGGCATAAGATTTCCCCCTGGAACTGGAGTTACAGGTGATTGTTAGCTGCCATGTGGGTGCTGAAACAGAAGCTACCAATAGTTGTTAGTTGCCATGTGGGTGCTGGAACTGAACCCTGGGTCCTCTGCCAGAGCAAGTACTCTTAGCCGCTGGCCTGGAATTTGCTATGTAGACCAGGCTAGCCTTGGATTTACAGAGCTCTTCCTGCCTCAGCCTCTGGAGTGCTGGTATTAAGGGTGTGCACCACCATGCCCAGCTCCCGACTACATTTTTAAAAGATGAATACATCACCAACTACATCTTTTTCTAAGTTCATTCTCTATTACTCTATGGATTTTATATAACAGAAGAAATTTAGCAAACATTCTTATCCAACTTACTGGTATGAAGTATTTGGCAAAGAAATGGATATGTGATTCCACATAATGTTTATAAAAATGAACATTTTAAGTGCAAATTAACATAATTATAAATGAATTATTTGGGGGCTAGAGGGTATAGTTTCATCATAAAGCATTTGCTTAGCATGTGTAAGCCTCTGGGTTTAATGCCTGCTATTGAAAAAAAATACCTTTCTGAAATCTTTTGTCCACAAAAACAAAGTATCTAAATCTTTCTTCTTTTCTATGTGGTTCCCATATATTGGTTATTTTGTTAGTAAGCGTATTTTTATCTGTGACAAAGTCTCATTATGTAGCCCTGACTGGCCTAAAACTCATTACATCAACCACACTGACCTGGAACTTGTGGCAATCCTCCTGCCTCTGTTTATCTAGTGCTAAGATTATAGGTATGAGCCACTACACTCTGTTCCTAACACACCCTGTTTCATTTACAAAACTACCTGCTAAGAGTCTTAAAAAGGGGGGCTGGAGAGATGGCTTAGCACTGCTAAGATGACACAGACTGCTCTTGCAGAGGATCCAGGTTCAGTTTCCAGAACCCACATGGTGCTAACAATAGTCACTAACTTCCAGGGGATCCAACATCCTCTTCTGGTCTCTGTAAGCACTGCACATGGTGCACTTAGATGCAGGCAAAACACTCATAAAATAAAAATAAATTTAAAGCCAGGCGTGGTGGCACATGCCTTTAATCCCAGCACTCAGGAAGCAGAGGCAGGCTGATCTCTGTGAGTTCAAGGCCAGCCTGGTCTACATAGTGAGTTCCAGGACAGCTGGGGCTACAGGAAGACCCTGTCTCAAAAAAAAAAAAAGACCAAAATAAATAAATTTTAAAAATTTTCAAAGCAATAATAAAAAAAAATGTAGAAAAAGGAGTCTGAGAAAGGGGGAGCAGACAAGATGGGTCAGTGGTTAAGAGAGCATACTGCTCTTACAGAGGACCTGAGTTCAAGTCCCAGCACTCACAACAGTTGCTCATAACCAACTGTAACTCCAGCTCCAGAGATTGCATTACCTCATTTATCTCCATACTCTTTTGAGGTAGTACTGTAATTATTCCTGTTTTTTTTTTTTCCTTTCTTTTTAGTGTATGTGTTTGTTTGTAGGATGTCTCTGTGTGGGCACACATGCCACAGCACACATGTGGAGGCCAGAAGACAATTTTGCAGAGTTGGTTCTCTCCTCCTAACTTTATGTGGGTTCCAGGGATTAAACTCATTTTCCAGGTTTGAACAAGCATGTGCTTTTATCCACTGAGCCATCTTGCTGGCCTTATTCTTGTATTTTTTTTCTTTTCTGGTATTAAGGTCTTATACATGCTAGACAAGCACTCTACTACCACTGGGTACACTACTACTACCAAGTACATCCCAGCCCTTTAAAAATTTTTATTCATTATATATATATATATATATATATATATATGAATATATATACATATATATATCTGTGTCTGTCTGTGTGTATGCACACGTGTGTGCAGGTGAAGCCAAAAGAGGGCATCAGATGGCTAGCCTAAGGGGGGAAAAAAGATAACTGAGTCATAAACCTGGGCTTAAATACTGGAGTATACTGTATTTAAAGGTGGTAGATGAGAAAAATGTTAAAAAAATTTTTTTCGGTCTTCTTGAGACAGGGTCTCCCTATAGTCCCAGATGGCCTGGAACTCGCTATGTAGACCAGACTGGCCTGAAACTCACAGAGATTCACCTGCCTCTGCCTCCCAAGTGCTGGGATTAAAGGCATGTGCTACCATGCCCAGCTCAAGCAAGTGTTTAAATTTGTAAAGTTCCAAAGAAAACCAGAACTAATTGTCCTAACCCCAAGATCAAAGCTAACACTACTCGCTCTTCCACCACTTTCCCTTTTCCTCTGTTTGTGTTCTATTTCGGTTTCTTACAATAGACTTTATTTTTGTATTTCTGCACTTTGGATGAGCTTCTTATCTAACCCAAATTCTCTCCCCTCACCCAGGTTTCCCATGCCTACGAGAAGAACATGTTGTATTCCAGGTTCTCAAGAGTTGAACGAGAGTAATCTTCAAAGAAGTAGACACCAGTCACAGCAAAAATGTAGAAGAAGATAAGCAGCAACATCAAGAGGAAGGTCATGCTCTAGAGACCATGATTCAAGTCAGAGAGAGGCCCAAACTAGGCTGATCCCCAACAGCCCAATCAAGCCCACCTAGCTATCTCCCACCAAAGCCTGACTTCCATCCCAGAGCCAAGTTATTATTAAACAGTTTATTTCCTGTCCTTTCTCATCCAGTAACATTTCACAGGCTCTTTTATGACCTTCTTTGACCCACCTAGATTTGTCTCATCTTAACTTTTTATCTTAACTCTTAAATCCCATGTCTATCTACCTTGCCCCACAAGCCCATTTTAGTTTGAACACTTAAATCACCTTCAGGGCCCTCATCAGAGCCAAAATAATAACTCGAATTTGACGGAATCGTGCAAACAGTTTGAGAGACTTCAGTACACGGCAGATCCTCAGCAGCTGCAGCCACACTGACTCTCCTGAGACTCCTATCAACTTCATAATTTCAGGAAGCAAGGACTGTGGGAAACACAGGTGGTGAATAAATTTACCCAAAAGCATCCAGGCACAGTTGCCCCTTCTTCGTCCCATCTTCTTCATAGTTCCCTGGGCATGATTATTGAATAGTATTCTCTGGGAACTGTCTCCTATTCATCCTTTCAATGCTAAACTATTTCAACTTGCTTAGCTATAAAAAGGGGATTAAAAGTAGTGTTCCTCTCATTGAGTTGTTATGAAACATAAAAGATTAATACAGTTAAAACAACACCTGGCACTTAGGTAATTGGCAGATATTATTTTAGGGGTTGAAGTGATTAGAATTTAACCTGTTCCTAATGACAATTTCTACAATTACTTTTAGAAGAAAAAAATGCAAATTAGATGAGTGTCTATGTATTTCTTTCTGGGATTTTGTTGTCACTATTTTAATTTACTTAAGCACATGACTACTCCAACTGACTAATCCTTAGGCTATCTATCCTTACCAACATAGTAACAACAAAGTCAAAGACATTCCAGGCATTCTTCCAGAAGAGAAAAAAGCTGGACAGCCACATTAGAAGGATCTCCAAGACAAAACTAAACAAAATAAACCAATCTGCCACCTCTAAAGTCAGCTTCAATGGCCACAGTTTGGTATTTGTGGATTCCAGCAATTCTGTAAGAAAGAACAAGGAAGGAATAAAGATTAAGGAAGTGATATACTGATGATGGAGGATGATCACTTATAAACCAGAGTTGTGATCACTACTATTCCATTTCTCTTTGAGTTTCTTTTATTTTTGTTATGTGTATGTGTGTATGAGTGTATGTGTCTGATGAGCTTGCATGTATTTACATACATGCATCCGTGCATAAGTGCATCCATGTTGTCCAATGACCAAAGAGGTCAGAAGAGAGTGTCAAATTTCCCTGGAATTTGCGTTAAAGACAGTTGTGGACCACCATGTGGGTGCCATCTGGGAATTGAACCTGGGTCTTCTGCAAGAGCAGCAAGTGCTCTGAACTGATGAGCCATCTCTCCAGCCCGAGTCTCTATTCTTACCACTGTTGCTTCAACCTGTGAAATATAGGGCCAAATTGTCCTTGAAAACCAGCTACACCTCATGTCCTTTTAATACTGGTATGACTAACAGTTACAGCTCACTTCCTACCTTTCTAGGCTCACACAACCACCACAGGATTTCCCTCCTTACTATACCCCTACCATCTGCTATACTGTGACATTTGCCCTTATGTTCATAGGAAAGCAATGGGTTTTGCAAATAGAATGAAAATGCAGAACCATGATATGTAAAGTACATTATAAGGAAGGTGGAAATAAGAGGCCAGATTTGTGGGGCATGTTGAATAATATGAAATCACTTGGTCCTTAGCTTTCTTTCCCCTTCTTCTCTGGCAAAATTTTATCCTGAGCTGGATTGACAAAAAGAGCCCTACAACTTCATAGATGGTCAGCCTCTCTCTAAAATCAATGAAACCACACTATGCTTATTTGTAGGCTATTTGCTTTCTTCATCTAAAATGTTTCTCTAATTCTAAGAGGCAATTTGTCACTTTTAAAAACTCTGAAGTTTCAATAGCCTTTTACAATTGATGTGTTCTAGGATGACTTTTCTTTCTTAGAGGTAAATAAGTACCCGGGTTTGATTCCCAGCACCCACATGACAGCTACGAGCCATCCTTAACTCCAGTTTCAGGGGAATCTGAAGCCCTCTTCTGACCTTTGTGGCACTGCACGACACACGTGCACTCACATACATACAGGCAATACACTCATACATATAAAATAATAAATATTTTTTTAATTAATTTTTTTTGTCTTTTTGAAGCAGGGGCTCCCTGTAGCCCCAGCTATCCTGGAACTCACTATGTAGACCAGGCTGGCCTTGAACTCACAGCAATCTGCCTGCCTCTGCCTCCCAAGTGCTGGGACTACAGGCGTGCACCACCACGCCAGGCTAAATGTAATTTTTTAAAAAAGAATAAATTCTGGCTCTCAGAAGCAAAGGGATTATACTACTAGAAGGCACTGAGGACTATATTTATGTCTGGAAAACAGAATGCAACAATGTTTATTCAATTTTTGCCTTCATAAATAGGAGTGGGTAGCCAGGCATGGTGGTACATGCCTTTAATCCCAGCACTTGGGAGGCAGAAGAAGGCAGATCTTTATGAGTTCAAGGCCAGCCTGGCCTATATAATGAGTTCCAGGCCAGCTAGGGCTACAAGGAGACCTTGTCTCAAAAAGACAAAAGAAAAAAAAATAGTAGTACATAAAGAATGGAGCCATTTAAAGAATCTCAAAGAGAAGAAAGAATCTGATAGCCTGAGTATGCCAAACAAACAGTAAATCTTGTACTTTCTGGGAAAAAAAGGATGATTTTTAGAGCCTAAATGAACTCAAAGTAGTTCAGAGAACAAATAGCAGCAATTGTGTAAGCAAGACAATATGTGCAAAGCTGACTGCCTCCAATGCTGCATCAACTGGTAAAAACATGTATTATCTGGAGATGAAAATAGAACTATTCTTTCATTCTACTACTTGGAAGGCTGAGGAAGGAGGATTGTAAATTCAAGGCCAGTTCAGGCTACACGGTGAACAACAGGCCAGTCCAGACTATGCAATGAGAACTGACAGCAAGACACAAAACAAACTCCGGCTTAGTGGTGAACACCTATAATCTAGTTAGTACTAGGGAAACTGAGATCAGGACAGCTGTCCTGGGGCTAGAGAGCAAGTTCTGGGCCAGCCTGGGCTACACAGTATGATCCTAACTCAAAAAACAAACAGGGCTGGAGAGATGGCTCAGTGGTTAACAGCAATTACTGCTCTTACAGAGGACAAGGGTTTAGTTCTCAGCACCCACATGCCAGTTCACAACTGCCCAGAACTTGAGTTCCAGGGTATCTGATACCCTCTTCTGGCCTCCTCCAGCTCCTGCAAACATGTGGTACACATAAACTTATGCAGGCTCACACACATGCACATAAATTAAATAATGTCTTTAAAATAAACAAAACAAACAACCAAAAAACTTAAGACTGCCTTAGAAAGGCAAAGGAATCTTTGAAAAAAAAATTGCCAGGCGTGGTGGTGTACACCTGTAGTCCCAGCACTTGGGAGGTAGAGGCAGGTGGATCTCTGTGAGTTCAAGGCCAGCCTGGTCTACATAGTGAGTTCCAGGACAGCTGGGGCTACAGGGAGACCCTGCTTCAAAAAGGCCAAAAAAAAAAAAATTTATGCCGGGCATGGTGGCACATGCCTTTAATTCCAGCACTTGGGAGGCAGAAGCAGGTGCATCTTTGTGAGTTTTAGGCCAGCTTGGTCTACAAAGCGAGTCCCAGGGTAGCTAGGGCTACAGGGAGACCTTGTCTCAAAAAGACAAAAAAAAAATTTTATGTTATATATACTTCCTGAATGTTTGTAAGTACACCCATGTATGTACTGCCTACATGTATGCAAGTGCACCTGTGTCATGCAATGCCCAAGGAGGTCAGAACAGGGTGTCAGATTCCCCTGGAACTGGAGTTACAGGTGGTTGTTAGCTGCCATGTGGGTTCTGGGAATTGAACCCAGGTCCTCTGCAAGAGCAGTCAGTGCTCTTAACTGCTGATCCATCTCTCTCCTGCCCCAAGACAAAGGAATCTTATTGCAAACAGAGCCAAGAATCCCAGTGCAGTCCAACCAGGAATCTTAGCCATTGTCTTGAATTAATGGTGAAACTTTACACTTGGACATTCTTCCCCTCGAGAGAAAACAGCAATTTAACCAAACAGGTCAGGAAAATGTATTTGATTTTTCTTGACAAGATAGTTTTCAAGATGGCAGTCTTGTATTGCTACTTCCTATTTAGTACAATAGCAGTATCAGTTGACTACCTCATAGAATATCAGGTAAGTTTACATTGGCTGTAAGGAAAGTCCAGCATCATTGAAGAGAGCAGCACACTGTCATCTGTGTATATGTTCCACTAAAGACAACAGCTAATGTTGAAAAAAATCACAACTTGTAACTCATGAGTTTAAACAGTGTTTGCAATTACAATAAGCATTTTTTAAACTTTTTAAAAAATTTTATTATTTTTATTTTATGTACATGCGTGTATTGCCTGCATGTATGGATGTGCACCCGTGTCATGAAATGCCTGCAGAGGTCAGAAGAGGGCGTCAGATCGCCTAGAACTGGAGTTACGGACAGTTGTTGGCTGCCACGTGGATGCTGGGATCTGAACCTGGATCTTCTGCAAGACCATTCAGTGTTCTCAACTTCTGAGCCATCCCTCCAGCCCCAGCACAATAAGCATTTTTTAATTTTTTTTTCTGTTTTGTTTGAAGTGCTGAGGACCAAATTCAGGGCTTTTAGGCAAGCACTCCAACTTTGAGCTAAAACAATTTTCATTTTATACAAGATTAAAATGAGATAATTGGTTTGATCATGTTATGATATGAAAATAAGATTGATAAAATCCTGCTAGATGTGGTTAAGGCATGTCTTTAATCCCAAGGCAGGCAGATCTCTGTGAGTTCCAAGCCAGTCAGGGATACAGGGATATCTTGTCTCAACCAGTACCCATATGGCACCTAACAACCGTCTATAACTCCAGTTCCAGGGGATTTGATACCTTCTTCTGACCTCCTGGGACACTACAGGACATGAGTGCACTCATATACCTGCAGACAATACACTCATAAACATAAAAAAATAAAAGGGGGCAGATCTGGCTTTGGTGGGCTAAGGCTGAGTACCCTAGCAGACAGCCTGAGAGGGTAGGTTCGGACCTCCATGGGGTAGCGGCTCGGAGCTCAGCAGACCACCAGAGAGTGCCAGGTTCTGGCCTCCCTCTGGCCTCCAACTACCAGAAGGCCTGAGAACCCAGGGGACTGCCTGACAGCCCCCGGATCCTGCCTCCACGTGGTGGTCCTTTTAATAAGATGATGCTATACAGCAGTCCCTTCTGCATGAAATAACTACCATCATCATGACTTCGGCTGAGCCTGATCGCTAAACAGTCACAATTGAGCTTGTTGACAGTTGTGTTCATTAATTAAAGTAGTGCCAAACAGGGTCACTGGACCCTCACCTGAGTATCCAGCCACTCTTCCCAGCCAACTAGTCCAGTCTTGGAAGCCAAAGAAAAATGCAAAAGAACCTAATAGAGGGATGCTTTTGGAAGCCCTTGTCAAGAAACTACAATGGACTCTTATATGAACATTCAAAAATTGCCCTGCTGACTTTTTTCTAGTTCCCTGTCTAGAATTTGTAATGCTAATTACTCTTGCCTTTACTTCTCCTTTACATCTCTTATTCATGATTCAAGGACTTTCTTTTTCTCTTAGAGACAAGAGTTATGCAATTTGGGAGTCTTTTAGATAGACCCACTGAAGGGGTACTCCAATTGCCTCATCCTGCATCCCTGTTCAGCATGGAAGATGCCAAAGCGGTCTGCATCCCTATTCCCTATTGGCAATTTGGGTAACCCCATCAGAGGATGGCGTGATAAGAATAGGAGGTTAGGATAAAAAGACCCCAAAGAAATGTAGCCAGTTTCTTGGCTAAAATTCTAAATATCCTTAGGCCTGTTAGCAACATACTCTGTTCCAAAGGCCAAAAATGTCAAAAGTATTTGGGAGCTTGTATCTAATCCCTAAAAGATTTTAGGATTACCTCTTCAGAGGGGGGGAACGTTGGAGGGGAGGGAGTGGGCATGGATTTGATCAAAACACCTTATATACATGTATGAAATTCTCAATAGTTTTTGTAAAATTTAAAAATAAATACAGCACTCAGGAGGCAGAGGCAGGTGGATCCTCTGTGAGTTCGAGGCAAGCCTGGTCTACAGAGGGAGTTCCAGGCAGCTGGAGCTACAGGGAGACCCTGTAGCTCAAAAAGACCTAAATAAATAAATAAATAAATAAATAAATAAATAAATAAAAAAAGCATGGTATTGGTAAATATTTTTAAAACAAAATATAAAAAACCAAAAAGACAGAAACAAAAAAATTAAAAAGACTGATAAAATACTTGAAAATAAGAAATGCAGTATCAAATTAGAACATTAATACCTAACAACTTTATTATATTTATTTGTTTAGTGTGGAAGGCACATATGCTACTGCATACATGTGGAAAACAGGACAACCCTTGGGAGTTGGCTCTCCCCTTACATCACATGGGACCCAAGGACCAAACTCAGGTTTATCAGGTTTTGAGGCCAAAAGAACTAGAGCCATCTTGCTGACTCCCCTAAGGACTTTAATGGAAGAGCTGAAATATCTTCCATAATGTCTGCTCCATTAAAAACATATCTAAGGGGCTGGAGAGATGACCCAGCAGTTAAGAACACTGAATGTTCTTGCAGAAGACCTGTATATGAATCCCAGCACCCACGTGGCAGCTAACAACTGTCCATAACTCCAGTCCCAGGGGATCCGACGGCCTCTTCTGTCCACCCTGGGGCATTGCACAACATGGGTGCACTTACCTACACGCAGGCATAACATTCATACACATAAAATAAAAATAATAAATAATAGCTGGGCATGGTGGCGCATGCCTTTAATCCCAGCACTCAGGAGGCAGAGGCAGGCAGATCTCTGTGGGTTCAAGGCCAGCCTGGTCTACATAGTGAGTTCCAGGACAGCTGGGGTTATAGGGAGACCCTGTCTCAAAAAGACCAAAAAAAAAAATAAGTTTTTAAAAATATCTAAATATCTTTAGGGTCCTTAATGCCTTAATTGTCTGGTTTCCATTACATTTTCCTAAATTCGCTGCAATCTGATTATGCTTTTCAAGTATAACAATCCTCTTCCTGGGGCTGGCAAGATGGCTCAGTGGTTAAAAGCACTGGCTGTTCTTGCAGAGGACCCAGGTTCGATTCCCAGCACCTACATGGTAGCTAACAACTGTCCATAACTCCAGTTTCAGGGTATCTGATGCCCTCTTCTGACTTATGTGGATACTGCATTACACGGGTGCATTTACATACATGTAGGTAATATACTCATACACATAAAAAATAATATATTTTAAAAAATCCTTTTCCTAAAACTAGCATATGAAAACTATCACTATTTTATAGATACTGAGATGCTTTTTTGTGCATATGTGTCTTTTTTGTTCCTTTTGAGACAGGGTCTTGTATCACTCAGCCTAACCTCAAAAGTACTATGTAGCTGAGGCTGCCCTTGAACTCCTGATCTCTTGCCTGTGTCTCCCAAGTGCTGGAATTACAGGTGTGCACCACCATGCTTGGCTACTAACAGCTCTTCAATACAAACCTACCATAACCTCTTCTAACATACTCATACTCATCTTTGCAATTTGTTAGTTTTCTTTTCCTAGTAATGGATAAAGGGATCTATTTGACCTAACAATGATATTGAGGATATTAAGTTGTACTACACAGTGGTTAGAGGAAACCTGTGGAGGACACTTGATGAATTCCTCTGGCCTCAGCATACGTGAACATGGGCACATACACCCATACACATACACCATACACATATATACCACACACACACACACACACACACACACACACACACACACACCACAACAAATGCATTTGAGAGCTGAAACAGGACTGTCATCAATTTCAGGTTAGTCTGTGCTACACTGTGACACTGTCTCAAAAATAAGGGCTAGGGATATAACTCAGTTGACAGAGTGCTTGCCTATTATGCAAAAGGCTCTAGGCTCAATCTTTACCACTCCCGTAAACCCAGCATGGTAGACATGCTTGTAATCTCAGTAGTAGGAAGTAAAGGCAGGAGAATCAAGAGTTTAAGGTCACCCTCAGTTACATTGTTGAGTCTGAGGTCAGAATGGGCTATATGACTCTCTCTCTCTCTGTCTCTTTCCCTCTCTCTCTCTCTCTTACACACACACACACACACACACACACACACAAAACTAAGTGGGAAACTTCCAGGGGCAGTGAGGATAAAACAAATGAGTACTTCTTTCATTTCTAAGCAGTTTTTATGAACTTCATTTTGGAGACGAGTCTCATTATATAGTCCAAGCTGGCCTTAACTCATAACGCTGCCTCAGCCTCCCAAGTGCTAGATTAAGGGCATCCACCACCACTTCTGGTCTGAGCAATTTGAGTTAATGAGCAAATGAGCTCAAGTGACTCTGTTAAGACATTTCATATAACTTGTAAATGGTTTTAGAATCATTTACTCAGGTAGGAGTCGTGGTACCCACATATAATCTCAGAACTTAGGAGGTAGAAGGAAGCAGGAGGATCAGGAATTCAAGGTCATCTTTGACTATATATGGAGTTCAAGGCTGGTGTGGGCTACATGAGACCCTGTCTCAAAATAAATAAATAAATAAGTCAGGCATGGTGGCACACACCTGTAGTCCCAGCACTTGGGAGGCAGAGGCAAGTGGATCTCTGTGAGTTCAAGGCCAGCGTGGTCTACATAGTGAGTTCCAGGCCAGCTGGGGCTACAGGGAGACCCTGTTTTAAAAAGACCAATAAATAAACATTTTTTAAGGCCATAAAGTGCTACCTTGCTGTTTCACTGTGTAAGGCCAGATAGAAGGCACTGACTATAAACTGGAACACAACCCTCACTCAACTCCCCATCACAATTCAGATGATATTTGAAAATATAAAATGATCAGGTTAGGATGCCTAGAGATTAGAGAAACATGTACAAACATCTAAGTGTTAGTAGCATTAAAAATGAGTTTTTCTGTATGAAACAGTGTATTTTAAAATGAAACAGAGATCTTTTTTTTTGAGACAGGGTCTCCCTGAAGCCCCAGCTGTCCTGGAACTCACTATGTAGACCGGGCTGGCCTTGAACTCACAGAGATCCTCCTGCCTCTGCCTCCTGAGTGCTGGGATCAAAGGCGTGTTCCACCACGCCCGGCTGGAGATCTTTTTTAAAGGTTAAAACCTCATTCAATTTTATGTCTCATAGGGTTTATACTGAGTACAATACTGTATAACTATATTAACTGTGAACCTAAAAATTGATAGCCGATTTTGAAAGAGATGCATCTTTGCTCTGGAAACTGTTTTGACTACGTCAAAGATCAGGTTAGGGGGGCTGGAGAGATGGCTCAGCGGTTAAGAACACTGTTCTTGCAGAAGAACTGGGTTCGAATCCCAGCACCCACATGGCACCTAACTGTCTGTAACTCCAGTCCCAGGGGATCCGACAGCCTCTTCTGTCCTTCACGGGCATTGCACGAGTGCACTTACCTACATGCAGGCTAGACACACATACACAGAAAAAAAAATTTTTTTAAATGATCAGGTTGCAAGAAAACTATTTTCTACACATTTCTTTTTCATTCAGTGTCAGGTCTCACCTATTTCGACCATCAGTACAATTGTATTCAAAAAGATGAGGGAGATGATGAAATTTGAGAAGATAGGACCTGTGTTCTCTTAAGGAAACATACAGATTAGAGTTCTTTCTCATTTATATAGCTGAAATAATAAAAACAATGTAAGATGTGAGAATTTCAGAGGAAAAAAATAAGTCACTAAGCATTTGATGAACAGCTAAGGATAAAAATGAGTGATATGGGGGCTGGAGAGATGGCTAAGTGGTTAAGAACACTGGTTGTTCTTGCCGGGTTCACATCCCAGCACCCACATGGCTGCTAACAATTGTCGGTAACTCCAGTTCCAGGGGATCTGACAGCCTCTTCTGTCCTCCAAGGGCACTGCACGACATGGGTGCACTTACATGCAGGCAATACGTGCATACACATAAAATAAAAATAAATTTTTTTTTTAAAAAAAGAGTGATATGAAAGGATACTCGCAAGAACCCATCCAGCCCACAAGGAAAGAGGTGGTCTCCAACTGCACCGCACAGGAAGCCTGCTCAGCATTCGCTGGGCATGAGAAACGTGCCCCACATGTCGAGGCTTTACGGAGAAGCGTACTAGCTGATGTTGATCTCCCATCATGAGCTTCTTCTGACGGGAAGGATCTGTAACAAGGAAAAAATACAGGATGCCTATAGTCCCAACTACTTGGGAGGTGGATTCAATATTGGGCAATAAAGGGAGGCTCTACCTTCCTTTTTAGGGGCCATGAAAAGCAGGTCAGGATTAGGGATACTGGTAAGATAATGGGCCAAGTGCAAGGGCTCACCTTGTAAACTGCTTTTTCAAAGCATCTAAGAATCTTGTTTGAAGTGAAAATGTATTATGACTAATACTGACCATGTTAGTGAATAAAAGCAGGAGGTACAAATCTCAAAGTTTTAAACATCTTTGGTGGAAAAATTTTCAAGTCAGCCAAAGTTACTTGACTAGGCCTAAAAGAGAGTGGTGTTATCTCCTGGATCCTAAGAGTTTCATTTAGAAACTTTATAAACTTTATTTTAAAGTTATTGACTTTATCAAGTCTAGGGTAGTTTCCCAACTAGCACCCAAAACCAGTATTCCCTAAATTTTCCTTTATTGTTATTTGTAGTATTTTTGCATTTACTTTGAATATATGTATATGTGGAGGCCAACTTGTAGGAGTCAGTTCTCTCACCATGTGGGCTCTAAAGATTGAAGTCAGGTCTTTAGACACGGCAGCAAGTACCTTTACCCACGAAGCCATCACTGGTCCCATTATTTATTTATTTTTTGAGACAGAGGCTTCCTGTAGCCCTAGCTGGCCTGAAACTATGTAGACGAGGGTAGCCTTGAACTCACAGAGATCCAACTGCCTCTGCCTCCCAAGTGCTGGGTGCATGTACCACCACCCCAAGCTTATTTGTATTGTTTTTTTTGTTTTGTTTTGTCTTTTTGAGACAGGGTCTCCTGTAGCCCCAGCTGGCCTGGAACTATGTAGGCCAGGCTGGCCTCGAACTCACAAAGATCCGCCTGCCTCAGCCTCCCAAGTGTTGGGATTAAAGGCATGCGCCACTACGCCGGGCCTGATTATTTATTTTAACCAGGACCTTGCTATATAGCCCAGAATGGCCTCACACTTGTGATTTCCCTGCCTCAGTCACCCTTGTGCTGGTGTTACAAGCATGTACCACCATACCTAGCTCCATCCTTAAGTATGCTTCCTAGTTTTTTGGAAGATGTGAACAGGAATACTAAATTTAGTGTGGTGACAGAACAGGCTGCTAACCAGTTATCTCCTGGAGAGTGTGCCGTGGCACAGCTTGGCTCAAGCCTTGCAAATGCTCTATGAGAGAGAAAGTGTCGATGAGACGTGAGCAAATAGCATCAGCTCTGGCCAGTTTTAAGTGTCCTTGTTGCTGAAGAGTAACCATAGCTGTTTAGAAAACACAAGAATCGGGTTATTTCGTTAAGAGTTGCACCACGATTACAAGGTTTGTTTCCCACCCCCCTCTTTGTCTTTAAGAGATTTAAAGAAGCCCATATGTAAGAACTGTGAGCAGTTGGGGAGAACACACACACACTGAGACGTAAGGTTTTTTGTTTGGTTGGGGGTTCTTTTATTTAAACAAAAGACTAAAAGTCTTAAGAGACACTCCATAGTCAAGTGTCAGGTACTTTCACTTTCTGACAGCATTTGTAATTAAATACTCCTTTTTTAAAAATTCAGTAAAAGCTGGGCCTGGTGGCAAACTTTCAGTCCAAGCTATTCGGGAGGCAGGAAGGTAGAAAGTTCAAGGCCTTGCATGAACTATAGAATGACTTCAAGATCAGACTGGGCAACTTGGTCAGACCCTGTCTCAAAGTAAAGTCAAAAGACAACTGAGCAACTAATTCAGTGAGAGATCACTTGCCTGGCCTTGTACAAGGTTCTGGGTTAAAAGAAGAAAAATCAGTACAAAGGAAGCAGCTACCAGAGCAGGCGCCCCAGGGCTAGACAAAGAATCCAGGCCCCACGCGGACCTGAGGAAACCAGGCATTGAGGTGGGGGCAGCGGCAGGATGTAGGGTGATCACCCTCGAAAGAAAACCCGACTGAAATTAGACGAAGCAAAGCCTGGCATCTTGAAAACGTGCCCTCTGTTCCTAGTGTGTGGTGTCTGCGCGCCCAGCGTTGGGGAGTAGGTGGGTGTGGGCGAGAGGACAGAGCCTCCTCCGCTCCACGCCCGCGTCTGGGCCTCACCTCAGCCCGGCTCTTCCGCCCATTCAGCCCTGACTTCACCCCTCCGCCTCGGCGTCCACCCCCTCCGCCCGACTCCCCGCACTCAGGACGCACTGGGGCCCGCTGAGCCCCGCTTCCCGACGCCCTCCCGTTACCCGCCGCCTCCCACACCCGCACCAGCTCCGCCACAAGACCAGACCCGGGCGGCGTTTACCACCGCACTCGCTTCTCGGCTCCGCCTCGCATGCCAGGCCCCGCCCAGCGCGCCGGCCACTCGGCGGTTACCAGCTGGGTCCGCCCGCCGGACGCAGCACGGCACAGCCAATCAGCAGCTGCCACACTGCGGCCCGAGCCGGCCTAGGGGGCTGGGACCTCCGGCTGCAGGTCCGCCTGGGCCAGACGCGCGAACGCAGGTAGCGGGTGCTGGTCGCGAGCTCTACCTCCTCAGTCCCCGGCCCCGACCCTCCGGCCGCCCCCGCCCCGCCTCGCCTCGCCTCGCCTCGCCGCGTTGCGTTGCGCCGCCATGCACCTCAGCCTAGCGCTCTTCCCGGGCGTGGCGCTGCTACTCGCCTGGGCCCGCCTCGCCTCTGCCTCCGACGTGTTGGAACTCACGGACGACAATTTCGAGAGTCGTGTCTCCGACACGGGCTCGGCAGGGCTCATGCTGGTGGAGTTTTTCGCCCCCTGGTAAGGCCACGCTGCGGGATCGGGGAGGGAGGGTTGGCGGGGCCCCGGGCGGGAGCCGTTCGGCCTACGCCGCACCGGCGCCCTTTGCCTTCCTGCGGACCTAGTCGCGGCCGGCTGCTTTCCCATCCCCGGGAAGCCGCGGGTGCTGATGATGGAGGGGCGAGACCCAAAGAGGAAAAGCCCGAGCTCCCTGCGCCAGGCCACATCCTCACTCTTGCGGCACTTCCTATTTGCCGAGGGTTTTAACCGTCCCCTCCCCCTCCGATCTGTATCTTCAGTTTCTAGGTGAGTCAGTGTAAACGCCTCCTGGTGCGCTGACCAGGCCGGCATCCCTGAGCCGTAGGGAAGAAGCTGCGTGGACAGAGAGGCCTTGCCTCCTAGGATATTTCCTTTCTTCTTGCCCCCACTCGGCAGGCGCTGGTTTCCAGCCAAGGTCACTCAGTGGGAACGTTCGTCAGTGCTTGCTTGAGCCAGGCAGTTACTTTGTTCATGGCATGACTTAACAGTGTTTACAATTAAGTTTGCAGAGCCTACTGTCAAAAAGAGTAAATGAACGAGAATAATTTCATTAGATTTAATTAAGAATTCTGGAAAATGATAAAGACTCTCAGTGAAAAAGTAACCAGTGTTGGAGAAATATACCACTTCAGGGTCATTTAATTTAGCAGAAGTGTAGATTCTTTAGGGGAGAATTGACCACCAAATAAAAACCTACTTGGAAAGGGGGAGCAAATAGGATTTCTGACTTTGTCAACTAGAGTGGTGGGGTAGTTAACGTACAAGTCAGTACCACAGTAAGCTACTTGCTTTAATATTTTAAATCAGTAACTCTGGTTGTATTTTTCCCTGTTTCCTGCTAGGTATTGGTACTTTTCCCCCTTCCCAGCACATTGACCTTTGTTAAAAGCTCTGTATTCGAACGTACCAGCAAAAAAAAATTAATGTGCCACTTTCCTTTGCTTATGGCCCAGGCGGCAGATACTCACATCCCAACCTCCTTTGACTTACTGATGGTCACACTCAAGAGGCTTTTAAAAACTCCCCAAATCGAAAGGATATGTTAGGCATCAAGCAAATTTTGTTTCAACTTGTAACATTTGTGACCAGGGCATCCTGGTGGCTGAGGGGCAGTACTGATTACACATTATAGATAAGAAACAACTTGTCTAGTTATATAATCATGCTGTTAACTTTGAGGGAGTGTCACTTGGGTTGTGCTTTGACTAAAGGGTCATAGATTTGATGGAGAATTGTGAGCAATTGTACAGTTTAAAGCAGAATTTCTAGAATTTTTTTTATTTTTGTTTTTTGGTCTTTTTGAGACAGGGTCTCCCTATAGCCCCAGCTGTCCTGGAACTCACTATGTAGACCAGGCTGGCCTTGAACTCACAGCGATCCGCCTGCCTCTGCCTCCCGAGTGCTGGGACTAAAGGCGTGTGCCACCATGCCTGGCATTAATTCTAGAATTTTTATAGTTAAGGATTTGAGTTGTAGGCTCAGTGTTTGCCTAGTATGTGCAGGGCCCTGTGCTTGTTCAAGTCCCAGCACTGAAAAAAAATTAAAGCTTTTTCTTATTTATTTTGAAACAGGTCCATCTATGTAGTCCAGGCTGACCTCAAACTCATAATCTTGCTGTCCTGTCGTCTCTCTTTTTAAAGCCCAGTTTGCCTTGAATTCCTGATCCTCTTGTCTCTATCTCCAGAATGCACCATCACACTTGGCTTCTAGATTGTCTTTCTACTTAAAATTGTTGTACGTGCTTCTCTTAAGACTACATATCCTAGGGCTGGAGAGATGGCTCAGTGGTTAAGAACACTTAACTGTTCTTGCAGAAGACCCGGGTTCGAATCCCAGCACCCACATGGCAGCTAACAACTGTCTGTAACTCCAGTTCCAGGGGACCCGACAGCCTCTTCTGTCCTCCATGGGCATTGCATGACACGGGTGCACTTACCTACATGCAGGTACATAAAATTAAAAAATTTTAAAAAACTACATATCCCATCATGCATTAAACTATAAGGCTGGCAAGAAAGATTGTTTTTTCTGAATGAGCTGACTGAAGTCAAGGAAGTAATAATCTACTTTTATTTCTATATAGTCATCTGTTTTATAATTTTTTATTTTTAACTTATGTTTATGAGTATATCGGTTTATATAGGTGTGCCTGTGTCATGCAATGCCTGCAGAGATCAGAAGAGAGTATCAGATCCCCTGGAATTGGAGTTATGGATGGTTGTTAGGCACCATGTGGGTACTGGGAATTGAACCCTGGTCCTAGTCATCTATTTTACCAATCCAGTTTGTTGTTTGTTTGTTTCATATAATCCAGACTGGCTTTGAAATCCTGTCCTGCCTTCAGATATCTGGAGATACTGAGACAGAGTCTCACTGTGTAGCCCTGGCTGGCTGGCGTTGCACTTGCTATGTAACCCAGGCTGGCCTCAAACGTAAGAGATCACTTGTCATCTGCCTCCTAAGTGCTGGGATTAAAGGAGTGCATCACCCCAGCTGGCCTTGAAGAATTTTTTTTTTTTTTAAGAATCTTTTATGTGTATGTTTTGCCCACATGTATATAAGTGCACCACATGCATTCAATGCCTGTGAAGGTCAGAAGAGGGCATTGGATCCCCTAGACTTAGAGTTACAGGTGGTTGTTAGCCACTATGTGGGTGCTGAGAACCTAACTGTGGTTCTCTGAAAACAAAGCCAGTGCTCTTAACTGTCAAGCCGTCTCTCCGGCCCTCTTAGAGATTTCTTTTTTTTTTTTTTTTTTTATTTTTTTTTTTTTTTTTTTTTAATTTTATTATTTTTATTTTATGTGTAGGCGTGTATTGCCTGCGTGTAGTTGAGTGTACCACTGTCATGCAGTGCCCAAGGAGGTCAGAAGAGGCTGTTGGATCCCCTGGGACTGGAGTTATGGACAATTGTTAGCTGCCGTGTGGGTGCTGGGATTTGAACCTGGGTCTTCTGCAAGAGCAGTCAGTGTTCTTAACCACTGAGCCATCTCTCCAGCCCTGAAGAATTCTTATTAAGAGTAAAATGGGCCTGGGCTTGGTGGCAGAGACCAGCGGATTACATTGAGAACAAGGCCAGCCCAATCTACATAGCAAGTTCTAGGTTAGCTGGGGCTGTGGAGTGGCTTAGTGGGTTTGCCACTTGAATTCAATCCCTGAAAACCCACATGGCAGAAAGAACACTGACTTCTGCACTAGTAAATTTTTTTTTTTAATTTTATATGTATGAGTATATTGCCTATATGTATGTGAGTGCACCCATGTCATGCATTGCCACGGAGTTCAGAGGAGGGCATCCAATTCCCCTGGAACTGGAGTTAAGGATGTTTTGTAGCCACCATGTGGGTGCTGGGAATTGAATCCCGGTCCTCTGCAAGAGCAGTCAGTGCTCTTAATCACTGAGCTATCCTTCCAGCTTCCACTAGTAAATTTTCTTGGGGGGGGTCTTTTTGAGACAGGGTCTCCCTGTAGCCCCAGCTGTCCTGGAACTCACTATGTAGACCAGGCTGGCCTTGAACTCATAGAGATCTGCCTGCCTCTGCCTCCCAGGTGCTGGGATTAAAGGCATGTGCCACCACGCCCAGCCTAGTAAATATTTTTTAAGGAGTAAAATGGAAGTTACGGATGTAGTTCAGTGAGATAGATTGCTTTCCTACCTCATGTAAAACCTTAGGTTCCTTCCCCATTTTAAGCTGTCTCCCTTGCTGCCCCTTTCATTTTATAAGTAAAAGTGAAAGGTGTTTTTTTATTTTGTTTTCAGATGATTTTGCAGATCACTGTTTCCATTATGAAATTGTATTTTTGTTTTGTTGGACACAAGATTTCACGTGGTCTTGAACTCATACCCCTGCCTCCACCTCCTAAAGTACTTGGCTTACAGGCAAGTGCTACCTTGTTCAGCTAATCTGTACATTTATAGGAATAGGAGTGTCCGAATTTCTCTGAGAAAATAATATTGTTTAAATATTTGTAGTTGTCAGAATGCATTTTGTCAGTGCTATTTTTAAGTCCTCAATATCTACTTACATTGTAGTTTTTTGGTTTTTTTTTTTTTGTCTTTTTGAGACAGGGTCTCCCAGTAGCCCCAGCTGTCCTGGAACTCACTATGTAAACCAGGTTTGTCTTCAACTCACAGAGATCCACCTGCCTCTGCCTCTCAAATGCTAGAATGAAAAGCGTGTGCCACTAGGCCTGGCCAGATCTTCCATTAAATTTGTTTTAAAAAAATAAATAATTGAAAATTTCATACGTGTATATAAGATGTTTTGATCCAATCCATACCCACTCCCTCTCCTCCAACTCCTCCTATATCTTCCCATCACTTTTTTTCTGATAACTTCATGTACTTTTTCTTCTTGATTTTTTTTTTCAAATGGGACTTTTGGCCACTCTAACATTCCCCCCTCTGTAGAGGTAACCCTAAAATCTTTTAAGGATTA